TTTTTCTTTCTTTTTTTTTTTGAAACGTTATCAGGTTCGATTTTCAATTGATTTGATTTGCGGTTTTTCTGTCTGTCTTGGTTGCATTCCATGATCAAATTATAGTCTTAAAGTGCCGCGTTCTCATATTTTTGTTTAATTTTCTTTTGGGATTTGTGGAATCTTTGATAAAGAATAAAGCACCTTATGAATGAAAAATATGGTTTAAGGGGTTTCATATATTGTTGGTGAGATTAATGTTGACCAATGTATTTATGATGATCATGACTTGGAATTTTATGGTAGTTGGTCAATGGATGTTGCTTGATTTGCTGTCTATCCCTGTGATTATGAATAGTGTTATTGTTTACTTTGTAAACACACACGGTTGTTCGACTTGCTTAAGTTTATCATGATATCGATGAAAATGATACTCGACGCTTTATTGAAAACAGAGGGAATTGTGTGAGCTTTGGTGTTTGACTATTTGTTCTACATTGTGATTGACCATTCACCAAAAAAAACGTGTTTGCTAACGTTTTTTTCCTTTCTTTTACTCGTAGCAGTTCCATTTTACTCAATCTATATGTTTGCGCGTGATCATGCTCAAGTGAATTAATTAAAGAATTTCTTCTACATAGATCAGCAGCTTTTCATCTTTTTTTTTTTTTCAATGTTCAAAGTGTAAAAATGTTTGATCATTAGAAAATCGGCATTCGGTAAACATTAATTCATTTTGGTCATATTTACTGTAATATATGTTTCATTAAGGTCATATGCTCCTGTATTGCTGTGATAAAAAATGAATATAATCTTCTTTCATCAAACATTAGCATTTTCTTTGCTCACAATGCATCCTTTGATCTTTCGAGCCGCTTACTTTTTTGTGCTCGTTTATTGCAGCCTAAACTGCTCGATTTTCTAGCCAGCACAATGGATCACGTAAAGACTCCTTTCAAGGGAATGGCAAATGATGTTAACGGGCGGCTAAAATGCTACAAGAATGATTGGATCAATACGTGCGGTTGTGGTGCAAGGTGCATTTTCTCTTTTGTTATTCTTGTTTGGAAAAAATAAAACATAAGGACAACTATAAAAAAAGTTAATGAAATGGGGTAATTGTTTGTAACTAATTCAACGAAATATTATTAAACTTACCGTTTGCAACTTTTTCATTCATTTATCAGGATTTTGGCTCCAACAGCATACATTTTCTTTGCTTCAACTCTTCCCGTAATTGCCTTTGGGGAGCAACTAAGTCGAGAAACAGGTTAGACCCTTAAAATTTCTAATTTGCCAATTTTTTCCCGCACTTTTTTTTTTCTTTTTTTTCTAAAGCAACTATTGTAACTTACAGTCGAACATAATTCTTTCCCAAAATAATAGATGGGAGATTAAGCCCGGCCGAGACACTTGTTTCAACCGCTATATGTGGGATCATCCATTCGATTTTCGGTGGACAGCCTTTGTTGATTTTAGGAGTTGCCGAGCCAACTATTATAATGTATACTTACTTGTACAACTTTGCAAAGAGAAGTGTTGGAACCGAGCTCTATTTAGCGTGGGCTGCGTGGTAAAGCAAGAATCATAATAAAATGTGTTTATTTTTTCTTTACTATGAAAACATGTTTAGACATTATTAGGTAAGTACTTAAAAGGTTATCTTGTTTTGATTCATACAGGGTATGTGTTTGGACAGCTTTACTGCTCTTTCTTCTCGCCATATTTAACGCTTGTACTATTATCACTCGATTTACGAGGGTGGCTGGGGAACTTTTCGGCATGTTGATCTCTGTTCTTTTCATTCAAGAAGCCATCAAGGTACTAACATATTTTTTTGGCTCTTAATTTATCGAAGAACATTATTACATTTCAAATTTAACACTCAGATTTTTGTCATCATCAACATCAACATCAACACATTTTTGTCATGTGTTGAAAATATTTTATTGTCAAGTTAGATTACTCTATAAAAATGTCATTAAAAGAAAGAAAATAAAATTCACAGGGCGTGGTGAGTGAATTCGAAATTCCGAAAGGTGAAAATGCCTCGGAAGAGCAATACAAATTCTCATGGCTTTATACCAATGGATTGCTCTCGGTCATATTCTCGTTCGGAGTGCTTATAACTTCCTTAAAGAGCCGAAGTGCTCGGTCCTGGCGTTACGGTACAGGTGAGTTATAAGAGACTATGGCATGATATTTTTGTAAGACTTTCAGTTGAAACTAACTTAAACTTTTAACTTTATTCCATTTGTTTTTTTTTTAAATTTTTTTTTTTCATGTGTGTGTTTAGGCTTCTTTCGGAGTTTCATTGCGGATTATGGGGTCCCACTTATGATTGTCGTTTGGACTGCACTATCTTATATTGTACCAAACAATGTTCCTTCTGGGGTTCCGAGGAGATTGTTTGGTTCACTCCCGTGGGAAGCTGAATCGTTGTACCATTGGACAGTGATCAAGGTACTAAATTGGTAGCCACTTTTTTACTTCCCAAACTCGGCCTTAAGTTGTTTTTATGATAAAAACAAACATTGGAAGTACAATGTAGTTGATGATTTGAGCTTATAGCTTATAGTTTATGACTTATAGCTGAAAAACTAGCTTATATGATAAAAATATTTGGTAAAATTAGCCGATGAGATAGCTGAAATAAAAATTTCAACGAGCTTATTTAAAAATCTACCCAAAGGAGCTTATCTCAAGCTTATGAGATAAGCTCGAGCTTTTTAAAACAACTCGTCCTAATAGAAGAAGCTTATAAGCTAACCAAATAAGCTATAAGCTAGCTTATTTTGTTACCAAAATAGCCACAATCATATAAACCATTTGCAACATGAGACGAAAATAGTAATAAAATTTTGATAAATCAAGATTATTCGAATCAAATTCATAATTTGCATGCAGGACATGGGAAAAATATCGGTGGGGTATATTTTCGCCGCCTTAATACCGGCTGTGATGATAGCGGGCTTGTACTTTTTCGATCACAGTGTAGCTGCACAGATGGCACAACAAAAGGAGTTCAACCTGAAAAATCCATCAGCTTACCATTGGGACATCTTTTTGCTAGGCGTCATGGTATCGAATACGACATTTTTAAAAAAACATTAAGAAAACAGAAATCGAATATCTACACCATTTAAAAAAAAAAAAAAATTGTGACTTTTTTGCCATTTCTCTAGACTTTGCTTTGTGGATTACTTGGCCTCCCACCTTCAAATGGTGTACTTCCACAGTCTCCTATGCACACGAGGAGTCTCGCAGTCCTTAAGAGACAGGTTGAACTTGAAAATTACTCTAATATCCTTTTCATTTTTCGGTAACTTTTTCCGAAAATATTCAAGTAAGAAGAACACATTGTGATTAATAGTTTTTCTTCGGTTCACAGTTGATTCGGAGGAAAATGGTGAAACGTGCAAAGGAGGGCATGAAACAGCAAGCGAGCCACTCGGAGATATACGGAAGAATGCATGCTGTGTTTGTGGAGATGGAAAATGCTCCTTCCGTAAGTGCTTTACTGCTCCTATTTTACCACCATTTCCCTTTGATCGCTTATTTAGAGAAAATAGTTGATTTTACAAGTTCATAGCATTTGCAGATTGCAGTCACAAACCGAAAGTCGAATATTTTTTTTTTCAAAATATAGTTGAAACTTAAATGACTTGTACCTTTCTTGCAGCACACGGTCGATAAAGAGCTGGCAAATTTGAAGGAAGCTGTCTTGAAACACGACGAGGTCGATGGAGAAATAAACGACAGATTTGATCCCGAAAAGTGCATTGACCTCCATTTGCCCGTCCGAGTGAACGAGCAAAGGGTGAGCAATTTCCTACAGTCTGTGCTCGTGGGCCTTGCCGTGTGTGCTATGCCCGTAATCAAGATGATACCCACCTCGGTTTTGTGGGGATATTTTGCTTACATGGCCATCGATAGCCTCCCGGGCAACCAGTTCTGGGAGAGGATGCTCCTCATGTTTGTACCTCCACGCCGTCGTTTCAAGTAAGAAAAACAATGCTGAAAATCGGGATTTTATTGTGTGTATACGTGTGTTAAAAGGCTAACAATTAAAAAAAAAAAAATGGAGATCTAGTCTAGTAACTAACACCAAGTTGAGAAATAGTTGTTTCTGATGGTTGCGTTGGTTTTACAAAAAAAAA